CGGGGCTCGGGCAGTGAGACTGTGGTCCTTAGAAGGAAAGTATCCAGGCACTGACTCAGCCACTGGTCATCTGACACGCAGCTCTCCAATTTGCTTCTGAGAATGACTCAACGTACAATGATAAAATAGGGTATTCACTGCTAAAATATCAGGGTGACAGTGGCCATGGGCTGCAGGCTTTATTCCCTTTACTCACCAGCCTTTCCCCCTCTTTCTATTAGTGATATTGCACTTTTTAAAAATGTTATTATGTTTTTATTGGTTTACTTTTCATGAGTGTGTGCATGTGAGTGGAAGTCAGAGGCCAACTTGCGGGAATCTCTTCTCTCTCTCCACCATGTAGATTTCGGAGATGGAACTCAGGCTGCCGGGCTTGGTAGCTGGCACCTTTACCAGCCGAGCATGCAAGGGGCCCTGAATTCAATCCTCAGACCCTCGAAACTAAGTATGAATGCCTGTAAACACACACACACACACACACACACACACACACACACACGCCAATGACATGTAGCAGCACATATACCAGCTCTCTTCCTCTATGTCCATTGGCACTTTCTCAAGCAACACAGTATATTTAATACCCTTTGTTTCATTTTTGTGTTTTTTGAGACAAGGCCTTGCTATGCAGTCCACGTTGGCTCGAACCTCTGAGTCTCCTGCCTCAGCTTCCTAGGTACTAGGATTATAGGCGTATGTCTCCCCAGCTGACTCATACTCGACACTTATCATTTCTGAATGAGAAGAAGGAGGTGACCCTGGAGTACGGAGATGTACATGAGGACTGTCCATCTTCTCACAGACCATCCCCCACTCCCTTAACAAGCTCTCCTCTGCATATGGAAGATGCTGGTAAACGTTTATGAACAAAGCAGAGACAGTTTTTTTTTTTTTTTCTTTGCTCGGCACTCTGAGAACAGAGTGGGGAAAGGCAGTGCTCGGGCCTGGAGGGGAGAGTAGTGTGGGGGTCAGCACAATCGTCCCCCAGCAGGGAGACTATGGGAACAAACATCATAAATAGTTACACAGGGGGACTGGAGAGATTGCTCAGTGGTTAAGAACATAGGCTGCTTTTGCTGGGGACCTGGGTTCAGTTCCCAGCACCCACACGGTGGCTCCCAACCATCTGTAATGATTTCCAGGGCAGTGGTTCTCAACCTTCCTAATGCTGCAACCCTTTAAGACAGTTCCTCATGGTGTGGTGACCCCAACCACACAATTATTTCATTGCTACTTTATAGCTGTAATGTCACTACTGTTATGGATTGTAATGTAAATATCTGTGATTTCTAATGGTCTTGGGCAACTCCTGTGAGAGGGTCATTTGATTCCAAAGGGGCTGTGAGTCAACAGGCTGAGAGCCACGGGCTCTAGGGGATCTGACACCCTCTTACGTCTCCCCTAGGCACCAAGCGCGTGCATGGTACACAGAAGGGCTGGCAGGCACTCATGCACGTAACATAAAAATAAAATCTTTATAACAAAGCAAAGCAGGAAAACCAAACAGTAACAGGCGATTTCCCCATTTTCCACCCCCAGCTTGCCTTAAAGGTGTAAATGGAAGTAATAGTAACACTCAGCCCCGCCCCCATCGCAGCCGGGTTATGACTTGTTTGGACACCCTTCCCTGACAGACTCCACATGACTCACCAAATCTCTGCAAGTATGCAGCCTATTTTCTTCATTGGCCCTACTCCCTGGGCAAACGTCTTCAAATATTTTACTTCTGATCTAAGCTAAATTTTTCATAATCTAGAGTGTTTTTATTTCTCTAATTAAAGAAGAAAAGAAAAACCAATGCCCCAGCTTCTGTGCCTGCGACCTAAGAAACTTCAGGCTCTGCTCACACCTCTGGCCTGACAAGGAGTCATGCTAAGTCATTAGGGATGTGGGGAGCTCCCCTTTCCCCTGCCTCAGGGCTTTGATTTGCAATTATGGGAATGAGTCTCAACTCTGGCTGCCCCTTAGAGTCGCCGTGGGGAGCTGAAAAAACTAAGATACCAGCCCCACCCCAGCCCAATTAAATCATATCCTTGGGGGATTACGATGTTAAATTCTATGGGCTCATTATCTCTATTACCTTCGCAATCTGTCCATTTGTTTTGGCACCTAATTCAGGTCCTCATTACCTCTTAGTTCTGCTAATTAAACGGGATGTTAATTGTTCATTCCCTCTCTTAATTTCCTAACAATAGCAATGGCGGCAGTAGTGGTGGCAACGATGGTGTGGTGTGGTGATGACGGTTTGGAAAGCCAGGCGTTAGTGAAGAGTTACTTTGTGTTGGGCACAATGCTGAACTCATTACAACCCACCGGCTCATTTCTGCACAACTCTATGACGTCAGCGTTCCTCTAATCCCCATTTAATAGATGAAGAAACTGAGGCAAGGAGAGATGATGTCATTGGCCTGAAGCTTGGAGAAGAGAAGGAAGCAAAGCCAGGATCCAAATCTGCACTGCTTCCCAGCCCCGGTCCCAGCCAGCCCCAGTACCTCCTCCCCAGACACCCTGGGTCCTCCGCCTCTCAGGAGTTTGGATGAGCAGCTGGACTCCAGGTTCATACTGAGGGCTTTCCCCTTGTGTGTGCCTTTATCTTTTCACTTTCTATTTAATTTAATACAAGGTCTCCCTTTGTAGCCCTGGTTGGTCTGAACTTGCTATGTAGACCAGGCTGGCCTAAAATTTGCAGACACCTGCCTGTTTATGTCCAGTCCACCAGGTTTTTTTAAAATTACATTTATCCTCTCTCTCTCCCCTTCAGATTCATAGTCTCTCTCTGTCTCTGTCTCTGTCTCTGTCTCTGAAGTTTGCTTGTGAAAGTTGGAGGATAACTTGCAGGGGTCAGTTCTCTGCTACTAAGTAGGTCCTGGGAATCAAACTCAAACCATCAGGCGTGGCAGCAAGCACCTAGAGCCACAGAGCCATCCCTCTGCTTCCTTGCTTTGCAATACTAGAATACAGAGTACGATAATATAGAATTTATTGGGAAAATTCTCCACTTTGCTACCTATAAAGCAATCTGTACCGACAGTTCATGCTTCTCTGCTCTCGGACAAAATCAGCGTTCTCGGTTTCCCCCGTGTGCTGTGATACGATACACAGAGCACTCATCTGCAGTGGCCAGATGATTGGCAGCTGCAACTGTAAGCAGCTCCCTGAGAGTTTAGGAAATTTCATACACTTTTCGGTCACCCCAAGAAAGCCACGAGCAGCTGGTTTATTTGAGGGGAAGGGACCAGAAAGAAAAAGGCCAAGAGCCAACATTGAGTATTATTAGGATAGTGTCCTGGAGCCAAGGAGGTGGGAGTAGTCAACACTGTTGGATGTCACCTAGATGGTGCCTAGAAATCATGGAGATGAGCGGACACGGCAGTTAGAGCTGAGCCAGGCTGCCAACGTTAGAAGGCAAGTATGGTGATGCTCACAAGGAGGACGGGACATCCAGAAATATGTGTTAGATTTGAAAGGGAAATCGTGTCCCTGAAAAGGAACCTATGAAAAGACCATCTCAGACAGGAAAGAGGGCATCAAGCCCTGACATTTTGGGGTCTGCTGCAGGGGGCTCCGAGGTGCCACAGGATGGGTGAGGGTAAGCAGAGAGGGAGACAGCAATGAAAGGTAAGTGGATCAGGACTAAAGGTCCATTATTGTGTCTGATTTCACGCCACTAGAGGGCACCAAGACCTCATGCTGACCATCCCAAGCCAGACCCACCACCATGGCCCATCCAGGGCACGACTGCTCAACGCTTTGGTGGCAGGATACAGAACCTGCCACTGGTTCCGTGCATGTCGTGGGACAGCCTACCCTGGGTGGCTAGCTCTGCCCTACATGGTTATTACTGTCCACCTCCTGACAGATGGTTGTGACAGTCATCTGAGAGCCACACATGACATCACGTTGTAAACTACCACGGGCTCTACCACTCTAAGCTGGTCCCGTGATTGCTGGAAACCACACAAGCTCACTGCACCTCTGTTTATATTCTGTGTATATCTTCTTCCTCACAGCTAGCCTCTAAGCTTTTAATGAGCAAGGAGTCTCAGTGTATCTTAAAATGTCCTGGGTGAGAAGATAATATGTCTGGGATTTGCTGTAAAATCAGAGTGTCAAGAAGGGGGATGTGAGTGATGCCAGTATGGAAGTTCATTTTACATAATATACTCTACTTCAGAGATCTTTAAATTTGTCTCTAATAGTTTCTAAAATCGCCACGGATCCCTAACGCTTTGTAGCTAGCATGGCTGGCAGTGAAGAAGCCCTAGTCTCCTGTCTGTAAAGTGAACAGGCTGAGAAAGGAGAAGGTCCTCTATGACTCTGAGACTCCCTGGACAGGACAGTTACCAGATAGCTGGGCAGGCATCCACTCGGAGCCTGCCTTCCTTCCCGGAAGATGGAATGCAAAGGTTCTATTCCAGCATCATTGCCTATATGCTTTGGACTTTAGTCATGAGGAGGTGAGGAGCCCTGCTGGGACCCCATTGCTCTTATTTTCCAGGACTCTCTCCCCTTTCCTCCAAAGGCCAGTGTTACCACAGCTGTGCTGAGGGGCCATTGTCCATGTTTTACTGGATGCTTCCCTGAAACAGCTGGTAGAGAAGAGCCTCTTTAACTGCAGCCTTGCAGCTATGGGGACAAGAGGAGGTGTTCTGAAGGAGCACCGACTGGACAGAAAGGACTCCTTGTTCGTAGGAAGTGGAGAAGGATTTGTAGCAGGTGTCCAGGAAGAACGGAGGGGGGGGGGGGGGGGGGGGTTAATGGTCAGGGCCATGTGTCTTCAATCAAGCATTCCAGGTGGTGCGTGCCTATGTGCTGAGGTGGACGGAAAGGTGAGGCTGTCTAAGACCTAACCTCTTTGTTAACCCCTGACTGTGCCCACACAGTGTGAGGGTTAATCTTCATTGCCAATTAGACTGGATTTACAATCACCATGGAAACCCCCTCCAGGTGTGTCTGTAAGAGTGTTTCCAGAAAGATTTAACTGAGGAGGGGAGACTCACCCTGAATGTGGGAGGCACCATCCAACGGGCAGGATCCCCAGACTGAACAAAAAGGAGAAAGTGAGCTGAGCACCGGCATCCATTGCTCTCTGCTCCCTGACAGCGGGTGCAGCGTAAGCAGCCGCCTCACACTCCTGCCGCCACAGCTTCCCCACCAGATAGCCGCTCCCACCGAACCGTGAGCCAAACAAACCCTTCCTTTGTTAAGCTGCCCTGGTCAGCTATTTTAGCACAGCGAGAAAAGCAAGACACTGGGGAGAGAGACTTAGGAAGCTTCTGGAAGGTGGCAAGGAGTCAGGGGCAGAGGGGCCCAGGCTGCTAAAACAGACTCACCAAGTGTGCTGGAGACGGTGATCTTGTGTCCTTGACTGTAGCGCTGGAGGGGACATCGAGGAGGGGCCATTTCATCTGAAGGTACTGCAGAGGGGACAGAAAACACGAAGCAGGTGAGATGCGGTCTCTCAAGCCGAGTGTAGAGAGGGCTGGCAGGGAGGTCACCAGCTATACGGGAGGCCTACAGTTATAAGCCCACAGGCCCTGGACAGGGGCAATCACCTCCATGACCACATGATTCTTATACAGCACAGCATAATTTATAATCACTCTGCTACCACTATCCTGTCACCATGGCCAGAGGCAAGACGTTAAACAACTCAGCTAAACTTTTAAGTGGGGAGGGGAGGGATACATTCCGATGTGACCATCATCTTCAAAGAACCTATCTGCGAGGCTCAAGCCTTCTTTACTCTCTCTATGGAGCAAGGCAGACCATCAGAGAGATTCCCAAACGGAGGGCCTGCCTGGTCCATCTCCATCTCCTGCAGCATCACCGATGGCATTCCCCAAGAAACACACTTGTGGGAGTGATAAACAAATGATAAAGCGCCGGACTGGGCAGGGCGTACGGTCCAGGTGGTAGAGAGTATTCACAGAGCATCCACAAAGCCCTCGCTCTAACCCTCAGCACCACATATATGGGCCATGGTGGTGGCATGCCTGAAATCTCAGCCCTTGGGAGATAGAGGTAGGAGGATCAGAAGTTCAAGGTCACCCTCAGCTATATAACAAGTTTGATGCCAGTCTAGGATGTATAAGATCTGTCTGAAAAAAAAAAACTCCCACCTGCCGGGCGGTGGTGACGCACACCTTTAATCCCAGAACTCAGGAGGCAGAGCCAGGCGGATTGCTGTGAGTTCGAGGCCAGCCTGGTCTACAGAGCGAGATCCAGGACAGACACCAAAACTACACAGAGAAACCTTGTCTTGAAAAACCAAAAACCAAACCAAACCAAACCAAACTAAAATAAAACCAAAAACCTCCCACCTGTCTCACAGTCAAGGGTTATGAGTAATTATCATTTTTGTTTGTTTGTTTCTTTGAGATAGGGTCTTGTTACATAGTCTTGGCTGGCCTGGAACTTACTATTTAGACCAGGCTGGCCTTGAATTTGCAACAGTCTTCTTGCTTCTGAAACTGGCATACTCAGTTTATAGGTGTGTACTCCCACACCCAGCATCTATTCACACTCACGGATGCTGACCTTTTCACTAGTATCTCTCAACCTTGGAACGATCACCTGGCACCCCACCCACCCTCTGCCATGCATCGTTGGGGGCGGGAAAGGAATTCCCATACCCACATGCATATAAATCCGTGCACACATGCTCTCGAGAGGGGAAGAAAACCACCTTTCCTTACTGTTGGTTCGGCACGGCTGACAGGAGGGAGTCTAGGGGAAGTGGGGGACCCTGGGCTCTGAGCACAGCATCCATGAGTACAGACATCACTCAACCAATGTAGGCTGTGACCCAAGACAAATGACTTAACAATTTGGAGTCTTGTTTTGTCACCTGTGGGGCAAGCTATTATGACTAACTTTACAGACTGTTAGCAGGGACGGGACCACGTCAGGGACCGAACACTGTCTTGCACGTGGGAGATGTTTGATAAATGGCAGCTATTATGTTCATAAGCAAACCATTAGTCTTTGCCAGGAGCAAAAGCAAGCATGTTGTCCTAGAGTCAACAGTGACAGGGTGCTTCTGGGCACCCGACCAGCCAGGCGACGTCTGTGCAGAATTTCCGAGACTAGCTTGAGAATTAGAGGTCTGTGAGGAAGGGGAGGCTCAGAAAGACTTTCAGAGACTGAAGGGAGCCTTTGGATCGTCATTGCTCTTGGATTTCACAGGGGAGGGAGGTACAACTGGCTATGAGCGGGAAAAGTATTGGGTGGGGTGAACAGGGCAGGGGCCGAGTTTTCAGAAAGGTATCTATAAGACTTGTGGATGTAGCTCAGGCTGGCAGGGAGCTTTCCTAGCACACATGAGACCCTGGATATGCTCCTCGGTACATAAACTGACAGTGGTACTGCCTGCCTGTAATTCCAGCTCTAGGGAGTTGGAGCCAGAAGGACCTACGTACTACATAGAAAGTTTGGGGCCAGTCTGGGCTACATGAGACCTTGTCTCAAAAAATAAACAAACAGGGCAGGGAGACGGCTCAGCAGGTAAAGGCACTGAGAAACCCTGAAGCCCCCACACACGAAAAAATAATAATGGCGTTTGGGAGCATGCATGTATAACCCTAGCATTCCTGCTGTAATATGGGAGCAGAGACAGCATTGCCTGGGAGCTCCTAGGGCCAGGGAGCCTACAGTACTCAGGGCGGCAGCAGAAGCAAGAAAGATCCAGCCTCAGCAAGTGGAAGGTGAGAACCAACTCCTGGAAAAACAACAACAGATCACAGCGCACCCACTCAAAGAACCGAGGTTCGCACACAGCCCTTCCAGCAGCAGGAAGGGGCACCAGCCCAGGCTTTCGGGTGAGTCAATAGCTGTAAGCACAGGCTAAAGGGATAGGCCAGCTGCGCCAAAACCTGAGCCTAGGGTTTTTATGATTGCTTTTCACTTGAAAATAATCCATTCCTTTTACTATTCTATGATCAAGAACGCTCGTGTGTGTGTGTGTGTGTGTGTGTGTGTGTGTGACCTCAGATCAGAGTCTTCCCCAATCACTCTACTTTATTCACTGAGGTAAAGATCTCTCCAGCGAAGCCAGACGGTCCAGTCTGGCTAACTAGCTTGCTCCCGGGATCCCCTTCTGAGTGATATTTACACGGGTGCCCGGAATCCAAACTCTGGTCCTTACGCTTGCACACCAGGTGCTTCATCCAGTGAGATGCCCGCAGCCCATTGTGACCCCTTCCACCGTACCAGCCTCCAACACTTCCTTTGTTCTCATGGACTCTCTCATTCCTTGTCTATCTGCCCCCACCCCAAAGGTTGAATGGAAATACGGACATCAGTGTTCTCCTATGGTGGTGGCTTGAGGAAGCCAGTACTTTTGAGTACCAAACGTCTTCCAGAAGCAACAACCCAAATGTTTGTCTGTTTAAGAAACTGAACCTCTGGAACAAACATCTGGTACTAAAGGGAAATGACCCAAATTATATCACCCCAACATGAACTGCAACAGGGGAATCTCAGCGTCCACCAGGTCCACCATGATCTGGTTTCCCATTGTGCCATAAAAACATACGCGCTTGTTGGCTGTTCCAGAGATACCTTTAAATCTTATTGGAGTGGGCCAAAACAATCTGAATTTTGATTTGGGACAATGTTTGGGGCCTTAAATAACACCGTAGGCGATCTTTTGGGTTGTCACACACAGCTGGCTTTAGGACTGCCAAGCAGTCTTGTTCCCCTTGGCACTAATGACTGACATATCCAGCTGTAGGACTCCGCTGTGGAGGGGGCTGTCTTCACACACCAGCAGCTCACCAGCCTCAGCAGCCTCCCAACCTGTCTTGAAAGTTAGAAATGTTTCAGAGTCAAGGATGAAGAGATGTCTCCGCCATTAAGAACATGTGCTGCTCTTGCACAAGACCCAGGTTCGGATCCAGGCACCCACATGGCAGCTTACAACTGCCTGTAACTCAGATCTAGGAGATCTGATGTCCTCTTCTGTCCTACACAGGCACTGAATGTACATGATGTGTTCACACACACACACACACACACACACACACACACACACACTCACACAAATGTAAGCAAAATATTCATAAACATTAAAAAAAGAAGTGTTTCCGACTTTCCCAAATGTCGCCCAGGACGGGGTTAGGGGTGGGGCTGCCTGCTGTTGTGAATCACTATTTTAGTGACTGAGGAGTTGACCTGCAGTCACTGAATTATTTTACCAGGGCACATTCCACTTGACAGTGCGGATGTCGAGGTATGTACATGCATGTCATTACCACACATACACTCACAGTAAAGAGTTCCCCATTACCACACATTCACAGAGTGAGAGCTCTGACTTTCGGCTGCTTTATCTGTCTAGCGGGATATCTTTTTTGGGCTTCCAGTGCCTCAGTGTCCCATGCGGGGCCATAGGCATGTGCCACCATGCCCAGCTCACACACTAATTTTCACTGAGAACAGGAAGCTTAGATGCTAACAGTCTTAAGCCCAGGCCTGGGAAAACAGGGCAGAGAATCATTTTAGTTCTCCTTTTCCCAACTTAATTTTTTTCCCCTTGTGTGTGGTGTACCTATGTGTTTATATGGATGTGCATGCATGTTGTGCTTGTGTGTGTAGAGGCCAGAGTGTCCTGCATGATCACTCTTGGTCTGATTCTCTTTGATACCAGGTGTCTTGGATTGCTCTTCACCTAATATATTGAGGTAGGGTCTCACAACTGACCCCAGAGCTTGCTGAATCCCATCTCTGCCTCCCGAATGCTGGGATTAGAGCTGGGTCACTACATCAGCATAGCTTTTACGTGGACGTCAGGGACCCAAACTCTGGTTCTTACACTGGTGTGGCAAGGGTTCAACCACTGGCCACTCCCTAGCCTTTTTAAGATGTTGAAGAGAGTTGTGGGGTGGACGGCAGAATTTTAGGGCTCACTGAACAGTAGAATGCCTTAGAAGCCTCCAGACTGCAGCCCAAGGAGGGGGGAATTCTAAAATGCTCCCCAGGAATTAGGGCAACAGGAGGCCCCAGACGTGTAATATCCCAAGTCAGCACTAGGTAAACGCAGGCATCTGCATAGTTCTGAATGCCTAGATCACATCCACTGGAAAGAAACTACTTTTTAAAAAGATTTATTTACTTTTAATTTTGATTGTGTCTCTGTGTGTGTTGTGCACATGTGTGTATGGGTACCCTCAGCTGTCAGGGTGTTGGATCCCTTGGGGCTGCAATTACATGTGGTTGTGTAAGCCATGAACTGTGGGTGCTGGAAATAAACTCGGGCCCCCTGCAAGTGCAGTACCCACTCAACACTGGGACATCTCTCCAGCGCCAAGAAAGCGCTTCTTGGCAGTGTTTCCCATGGGAGGTCAGCCCCACAATTATCCTGGAGGTCACTGCACATGGGTGGAGCATGTCTGTAGGGATTAAGTGATGTGTAGCT